TATATATATATATATATATATTTCTATAAATATCTATGGGTATTCCCGCATCACTGGCATTGAGTCTCGCAAACCAAGGGAGTGCAAAATGCCGGACACCTCTGGAACCTCTGTAGTTAGCAGTCTCAACGTCGATATCTCTGGTGTCGGGATTAACAGACATGGTACAACAATTTACATGCCATAGCATTGTACATGTCATAGCATTTAAATGCCATAGCATTTACATGTCATAGAATTGTACGTGTCATGTTTATTTCAAGCACTTTTGACATTTTTATTAACGAAACTGTGACTAAAAACTTTACTATCTCTGCCCGGTAGGGCTGAATCTAAAACAAGGGCATCAAACGTGCAACTCTCTTGATCCCTCCTAGCTCTATCCAGTGGTTCATTAAACGATGGCTGTTACGATTTGATATAATATCATATAAAAAAATAATTGCTTTGTCAAAATATAATACTAATGCGCCCCCTTTGAATACTTTAAGGGTAAATAAAAAAAAAAAAAATTAGAAACATCATCATTTTTAGTCTCTATAGAGTATAAGCGTATTCCTTTAGAGCTGGGTCAACTACTTAAATAGATTAGAACCACTAATGACAATGCATAAACAAAAAATAAAATAAAAAATATGGTTTGAGGGGGGGGGGGGGGGGGAAAAAAAATAAAAAAATTAATTGTGGAAAAAAAAAAAAAAAAAATAGGGGGGGGGGGGGGGGGGGGGGCTGTACACAATTAAAAAATATGATTGCTGAACACAAAAAAAAAATCTTTATAATTAACAAGTTAATGAGAAAAATCGTAATTTTATTTGTGAAAATGGCCGGTCTTTTTGTCTCATTCCAAAATAATCCTAAGGAAATAATTAAACAAAAGATATTAAAGCTGACACTGTCATAATTTTTATGTCATTTCCATCATGTCCACTTTGAGTTTGGGGGGGGGGGGGGCTTTTTTCAAGGGGAAATATTTAAATGGGCAATTAGGGTTTTTTTGTTTTTTTTAAATAATATAATAAATCATTGGCTCAAGAATGATAAATAGCAGATAAGTTTAAAAACAAATAATGTTAATGTTTTGTTGTTTTTTCAACATCTCACTATCTAGCCACAAAACATGGCTTTTTAAAAATGTGGACTATTTACCCGTCGATTTAGAGTTTATTTTGGTAATTAGCATTTCTGATTGTCCTTTCTAAATCAGTTCGTAGATGTTTTGGCGTCTTCGAAAAGAAGTTGATGGATTACTTCCCCATGTGTCTTCAACAGAATCATCTGGCTAAGCTATATAATTTCATTACCAGAGGTGATTCCTCGCGTTGAGTATTTCCACAAACATTATTCGCAATATTGAGATAGTGTTTAAACGCAGTGGCACAGGAAGGGGTTGGGGAGGGGTCATGCACCCAGTGCCACGGGAAGGAAATGCGGAGGGGCCGGTGCACCCAGTGGCACAGGAAGGGGTTGGGGAGGGGCCAGTGCACCCAGTGGCACAGGAAGGGGTTGGGGGGTCGGGGCACCCAGTGCCACGGGAAGGGGTTGCGGACTGGCCGGTGCACTCAGTGGCACAGGAAGGGGTTGGGGAGAGGAGGGGGGTGGGGGGTTGGTGCACCCAGTGGCACGGGAAGGGGTTGCGGGGTGGCCGGTGCACTCAGTGGCACAGGAAGGGGTTGGGGAGGGGATGGTGCACCCAGTGGCACTGGAAGGGGTTGTGGACTGGCCGGTGCACTCAGTGGCACAGGAAGGAGACTCGGTGCACCCAGTGGCACAGGAAGGAGATTTGGAGGGGCCAGTGCACCCAGTGGCACAGGAAAGGGTTGCGGAGGGATGGTGCACCTAGTGGCACTGGAAGGGGTTGGGGGTGGGCTGTGCACGCAATGACACAGGAAGGGGATGTGGAGGAGCCAGTGCACCCAGTGGCATAGGAAGGAGATGCGGAGGGGCCGGTGCACCCAGTGGCACAGGAAGGGGATGTGGAGGGGATGGTGCACCCATTGGCACTGGAAGGAGATACGGAGGGTCGGTGCACCCAGTGGCACAGGAAGGGGTTGCGGATGGGATGGTGCACCCAGTGGCAAAGGAAGGGGATGTGGAGGAGCCAGTGCACCCAGTGGCACAGGAAGGAGATGCGGAGGGGCCGGTGCACCCAGTGGCACAGGAAGGGGTTGGGGAGGAGCCAGTGCAACTCTTTTTGTGTAGGAGTGTGATTTCGGAAAAATTCAGTGATTTTGAGTGAAAATGTGGCGGAAGAATTCTTTGCCTAACCCGGTTGATACTAGCCATAGCTACGCCACTGGTAAAAAGATGGCCTGGTAGCAGTGACGTAGCGGGACATAGAGGCAAACCCCCCCCCCCCCCCGCCCCCACCCATGTTTTGTTAATTCACCCCCCTAACCCCCCCCCCCCCCTCTCTCTCGATAATTCTACTTAACAGGGTCAGAATAAAAAGCTAAATACAGTGATTAGAAAATTAATATTTATTCTGAATTAAAGTATCTCATAAGAGTAAGAGTGAGTCGCAATTGATCATGGATTAAAATTATGCCAATGTTTGAAAAATTATTTAAAATGCAAATTTTAAATGTTTAAGTTTACCAGAGAGTTTTCACTTATTTGTTTTTATTTTGTTAAAATTTAGGGTGAAAGGTTACAATGCAATCACCACAAATTTTCTCTTGTTGCCAGTTTGGAACATCAGAGGAATCAGTGCTTAGTCGTTGTAGGTATTATTTTAGTTATGTTAGTCTTGCCTCATTACAATCTGTACAGCTCTGTCATGTTGATGTCAATGTTACAGAAATGACCAGCTACATCCAGCATTTCAACAATAATTTAGTTTTATCACACACAACTGTTTGTAAATGAGTCAATGATACTAAAACATATACAATCAAAAATGTGAATAACGAAATAAAATAACAGAATGAAATAAAACAAATACATCTTCTTTATTCAAATCGTCATCATGAATCCACAAGACAATCCCCCAGGTCGCTCATGTCAACTTTCTCAATATCCACAGTTGTATCCACGTCCATGCTAGCACTCTGATGCCAGTGACGACCCTTTGCTCCCCGGGGGCGATGTTGAAATCCCCGTTGGGCACCTCGTCCAAAACAGATGGTTGATGGAACCCTAAAGAAGCACACAAGGAGTCCTTTTAAGTACAGTATGGTACATCAACATCATAAAATATTAAACTCGGCAGCTTCAAGAGGATATCACAGCATGATTGCTGTGTCGAACATTAAATTTATAAGAAAATGGCCAATTAAAACCTTCAATATAAATGTAATTTAATTGCCAGTTTTCAACAAAAACATTGGGTAGTTAATTATTAAAAGTTGAAATTTATTAAATTAAATTCCAAAAAGAAGAGTTCATTTTCTGACACTTTATTTCACATATATCAATTGGGACTTATAATAAATTGTGTCAACACTGTGTTTAACTTTTCCTTCAGGTGTTTAAAATCTCACTCCACAATAAGTCGTTATTAAATTCTCTATTTACACAAAAATATTAATATTTATGTATAGACTTTTTCTTAGGGCATGGTTTGTTATTTCCCCAGCAATAGGACAACTCATATAAGATTGCAGCAGCAATAGGACAACTCATATATGATTGCTGCAGCAATAGGACAACTCATATAAGATTACTGCAGCAATAGGACAACTCATATATGATTACTGCAGCAATAGGACAACTCATATAAGATTACTGCAGCAATAGGACAACTCATTTAAGATTACTGCAGCAATAGGACAACTCATATAAGATTACTGCAGCAATAGGACAACTCATATAAGATTACTGACCCTTTGGCTCACAGACTTTCAATAATTTGAGCACAACCATTTCAAGATAATGTAGAAAATTATTATTACTTTATTTTTTTTTTAATTGTGTCAAATGGAACTTCAATTATAAACAAAGTGTTTATTTAATACCAATTCCAATTTAACTGTACAACAATAAAAACAAAAGTCTTCAATAGTTATGTTATGATAATTTAAAGAAACTTGACTTTAAAATAAATAAATGTTGATTTTATTTGCCTTAATGATAATAATAATATAAAAATAATAATATAAATACATTATAACATGACAAGAGATTGACAAAGAATGGAATGGATGTGGTTGCAAGGGATTTCATGTCATTTAATTTAATAGCTGATATAAACTTTTAGTGTTAAAATTAATGACATCTAAATTCAATTCTTTTTCTTACACAAAAAATAAAACCAATATTTTATTCAAAACCAATATATTGGAAAACAATTTTGTTTTATTAAACATCCCTTATTTTATGAGTCTCACTTTTTACTTCTTCCCCTGCTGTTGTTCCCTATTGACTTTCCAGTAGCAATCTTTTGTGTATTTTGTTCAATGTCCACATCTACATCCATGGATGAGTTTAATGATGATTTTTTAACACCACCGTCTCCATTATCATTTGGTCTGGGGACAAAAAAAATCCTATTAAAATCTTGGTACAATTAAATGCTTCAGATTAACATGATGAATAAAAGTGGCTCAGCATAGTGAGAATGACATAATATAACTCATAATTTTGTGATATTTAAAAAAAAATATATATTTTTTTTAAACATAGTAATTTTAATGTCTATGTTTCAATGAATTTAATTGACAAAAGTGTGACAAAATTGAATGTTACTTTATTGAAATGGTTCAAACCTGAGACTTTAATAAACGGATGGCATGGGCCCCTATACTTTAATAATATATTGTGTCCCTAATGGACATTTAAGAAATAGCATATCTACATAATTCAATGCAAAAGTAATATTAATGTTACAAATATGCTGCCACTTATGGATATAAAGATAAGGGACTTATGTTAGGAATTTTTTAGAACACTCTTCAGTCCTTACTTTGACTTGAGAGGCCTGTGAAAAGCAAAATTCGCTGGATACTTGTGCTGTGTTACTAGGTGGTCTTTGCGTAGTTCTTGGGTTCTGAACTTCAGGGGACAGCTTTCTACCAGACACCGGTACTAAAATATGATACAATTTGTGATTGATGACTGATAGGAGACAGCTTTCTGCCAGACAACAGCGATAAAATATGATACAATTAGTAATTGATAATAGAAAAGAAATAATGGTTTAACTCATATGAATACTAACATCCCAGCTCTAAAAAAACCAAGCGTTTTCATCTGTAAATTATTGTTTATAACAGTGTATATTGCTTTTAATATTTTTTCATTATATCATATCCATCTGTATGGTGCTACAGCCCATGGCCCTGGCCAAAAAAAACAACATCCTATAAATTTGACTCTACATTATCAATCCATCTCAAATCAAGAGCCCATGAGTTGTTTCTATCTTTTCTACTATGTTCCTGGGTGATCTGCTCTTAGACTTCTCTGGATTAACTAATTATTATCTCTACTTGACATATGCAATGATGGGAACCTCTACTTGTCTATCCAAAGAGACATGATTATTATCTCCTCTCCACTTGTTATTAAACTCATGTGGGTAGGCTGATTTCCTATTGGGCGCCTCCGCACAGATGGTGGATACTGGGGAAATAAAATACACAGGGCGGACCAAAGTCAGCAATCGGTGCCTTGAAGTCAGTAATGGCATTTAGAAGGACTAAGGACCTGACCTAAAACAAGGTGGCTACCAATCAGAGCTGATGGATATATTCACCCTGGTGCTTATTCGCAGGGTTAACGACTCAGTCATGGAAAAAATATATTTAAAAACCGAAAAATTGGATGGACATAAATGGATTTTGACATATAACTTTGACAAGGATTTGATTTATTGATTTTCACCTGTAAAGCTCCGAGTTGCAAAAGTGGCAGGTGGACCAAGACTGAGACGAATCAATAATGTACAGATAGATTTACGTAAGCTGATGATTTTCCCATAGAGATAAAAGCCCTAGATCAGTCTGAATGGAAGGATGCAATGCAGCATGTCAGAGTCCTGCACTGGCTGTAGTGCCATAGATGATGTTGATTTTTAGGATAGTTATCTTACCATGTCGATCTTGGGAGAAAGGATCTGAAAGTATGAATCGTGATTCTCCTGGAGGTGAATGTCCAGGAGAAAGTTGGACACAAACGTCCGCTTGCAGGTGGCACACTTGAAATTATGACTGTTGTGATAGTGTGACTCATACCTGTGGATAAACAGTACAACACTGGACTTCCACTTTTATCTTCAACCGACATAACACAAGCAACTCTAACTGTAACTAAATGGTATTTCCTCTCTTGTTTGTTCATTTTAACGCTGAAAGACACACAACATTTTATTTTTAGATTAGCTGTACGAAAATTACCTAGCTGCGCCAGCTTTATACTATATATAACATATTTGTAAAAAAGGGCGGCCAATGACTAAATCTTCAAGAATTAAAGTAATAAGATTCTATTTTCAAACACAACAGCTAATGATTTTATGAGGTTGATCAGGACACATACTTGGCAACTGAAGTGAATGTTTGATTGCATCCATCCACACCACAAATAAAGCTGTCACTGCAAATAATGAGAAAGAGAGGAAATGCCAAGCTCAGTAGCACATGACTAAAACAAATAACATGGATAACATTTTTACCAATAATAATGTTTCAACAAACATTTCACCTAAAAAAATTGTCAATTTTTGAATGCATGTTTTAGTCGAAACAAATATATGTAGCAATTTGGATTTTTTAAAAACCTTACGTCAAACTTTAAAAAAAAAAGTGTCATTGTCTTTTAACAATTCCTCACCTATCTGTTGCTTGTTTCCCCAAAGACATTCCAGCATCCCCCGCAGGACTTTCCCCAGCATTCCCATTATTCTCTGGCCCATCCTCACTCGTCAAGACATCCTCTAGTGCTGTTTGTTTGCTGGTAAAACCATAGCCATCAGCTTCCTCTGAAGCCATGCGTCTCAAAGTTATTTTAGGCTCCCACTTCTTGGTGTCCAACATGTTTCTCATCCCCTCGTCTTTTGGATCACACCAGCAAAAACTGCCGGCCGCTCTGAGCACCATTAAACTTTCTCTCAGACTTAAGTAATACTTCAGATTCTCCTCATTGCCATGAAACAATGTCAACAATTCAAAAACACTCAATGTGGGGGGTTCAACCTCTAAAGAATCTCTTGAAATATTGTTCTGCTTTGCATCCATTTTAAAAACTTTTAAATTGTAAACTGATTTTTATTTTAAAAATTTTTTACAATCCTTGTGTAAATTTTATTTGAGTCTTTTAAATAAAACAAATTTAGTAAGGTGTCTCCCAAGAGTTGATATAAGTCATTAATACAAAAAGGAAATGTATTATCTCTCTTATTCCCCTCTATTTGATTATTTAGAATTATTTTATTTTTTTTGTAATGAAAGGTTTAAAGCTTAAAAACATTTTTTTTAATATTTGATCAGCAGTAACTGCAGTATGTTGGCCTGAAAATGAAGTTGAAAAAAAATCATTAAGCTTTGCTTGCAACATCAACAATATATTATTAATTTGATAGGACATCTCAGCAAACATAATTTAATTATTTTTTCAGTATTCACTAAGGTGGAAAACGTTAATTTGGTGGTTACCATCCAAATGAGCAATTTATTTCTCAGCAATTGAAAAAGACATCTGATCCATCAGCTCATCAATTCTGTCTTGCAAGGTTTCTATAATTTCAGCAGCTACAAACAAATGGGTGTCATCCAGGTCCTGCGAGGATTGAAATTTTTAAAAATGCAGAGGTTAGACAGGGATCAATGAGACCAATCATGTTACATTTGTGATATACAAGTACAAAAGCCCAAAATCTTAACTACTACTTTATAGTGCTTTGCCAAGGACAAAACATTTTTGATTTTCACTTTTAGTTAGATGTGTAGATACAGATGAAATCTGAAATTAAAAAATAGCACTTAGCTGAAAAGTAGTATCCGAGAAGACGGCAAAATAATTTGTTCATCCTTAATAACTTTTAATCCATAGTAATAGTATGCTTGTATTAGTTTTATGGGAAATTTTAGTTGTATTCATTTATAATTCATGCATTTAATTTTAGATTTGAAGATTTAAAAAAAAAAAAAAAATGCATTGAATTTTAATGTTATTTGCCAATTTATAATTTATTTTTTTTTAATTTCTTATAGGTTATTTTAAATAACAAATGTCAGTCAAAGTACATATTATCTTTAACATTTTTTTTTTTAAAGTGGCTATTTCGACAGGCTTCAAAAACTTTTCTTTGATTGTTGTTATCAAATTATAAGTTTGTTATTTTAGTTGGCAGTTTCATTAAGCAGTAGGCAGTAAGTAAGTAGTGGTAAGCTACAGTTAGTTTTTTAGTTAGTTTATTAAAATTAAACTTTAAAGTGATCAGTGTAGGCCCCTAAATTACTGTTTTTTTTAATTTTTAAACTAGACTTCAATTTCAGGTTACACTGATCAGGAGTATTTAAATTTTAGGCAGTGTCTATATGTCCGGCGACCGGACAAATAGTGCGGGAGATATTTTTTCCAGCGGGCATGTCACTTGACCACCGAACGATTAGTATGTGTTATTATTCCGGCAGACATGTCATGTGACATGAAGTCGCCGGCAAAATAGTTGCATTACATATTATATTCCAATATTGTGTATATATATTAGTCAGCCGATCCTTAGATAATAAATAAATACTGAATATGGTAATATTTTCTAATGCTCTGAGATATGTAAAGTGCATCATAAGTCATAAGCTTTTCAATTTGAATTAACTTAGCTATACCTCTGGTTTAAATGTCTATAAAGCTCTACCTAGTAGCATAAATTTAAAATATGAACCAAACAAAATAAGACCAATACCTACCAGTTGACTTTTAACAGATCTATGTCAAAAAAGTTTTATTTTAGGCTATTTAATATTGTGTGAGAAGAGTAAGCTGCTTCAACAGTACACTATATTGGCGCTATATTAAGATGCAGGGTCTATTTCTTTGTGAACTATCAACCTCCCCGCTTAAATTATTTATCACCCCCATTATCATTTTTATCCCATCTCTCTTGCTCTCAGTATTTCTGACTTCCACAATGAATCGCTTCCCCCACCCCTATTTGTTGAAATTTATTTATTTATTTATTTAGGCATTTTTATACAGCGCTTACCTTAAAGCTCTAAGCGCTTTACAATTATTAAAAACATGGAAACTAAGTAAAATAAAAATGAGACACTAGGATAAAAACTACTATGCTATAGAAACAATTAAAATGGCTATAAAACGAGGACACTTTGGCACAGGGATCAATGAGACCAAAATCATGTTACATTTGTGATATACAAGTCAAATGAATAAATGAAGTAAACTCGTTGCCCACATATATCTCCGACGCCATTTTTCTGATCGACTATTACTATTAGCGGTTACGTGACAAAGCTGAGACTGAGAGTACTGAGACACTTTCTTATTCTTTCTTCATTCTTCTGTTTAGACAGTAGTCAGTAGTCTTAGTAAGACTTATTGTAACTGTAAGTTCATTTTTTACTTAAACTTACTTGAAAATTTCATTGAAATTGAATTTGTCATAAATTGAAAGTTAAATTCTGTTAAGAGTTAAGGCTAAGACAGTTAAGATTATTCATTAAAGACAATAAAGAATTAATTTTTAAAAAGTTTAAGATTACATTAAAAAAGACAGTTAAGTTAAGAACTTAGACTTAACACTTTGCTTATGGCGGCACCCTTATTGGCTTATGCAATTGATCTTTGAGTTTGACTTTGACTTAGTCATAGTCACTTAAAACTTAATTTAGTCACTTAAGTAAGTTTTTAATAACCAATAATAATAATAAGGACAAATAGTTATATAAATTAAATAAGTAATAAGTGGGGCAAGGGGGATCGTATTTGGTGCTTTTAAGTTAATTCTTTATTAACTTATTATTTAAACCTAAATTCGAAATAAATACCTGAAGTACAAATTTCCTCCCAAATTCATTCTTTTCATCTAAGTGCAAGAGAAATTGTTTCATCGCTGGATCACATTCTACGAGAACACCTTTTGTTACGTTCACCATTTTGAAATTATGGCTCCTCCAAATACCGATATGCAAAAAGAATTTACCTAATACAATAAATGTATCACTCATTTTCAAGTCAATGTAGATTTAAATAACGAGAAGTTTCGTCAAATGTCAAGGAGTTGCAAACACTATCGTCCTCACTGAATTCAGCATTTGCCATTTCCTACATGTCAAACTAAATATGACAGGGTTGGACTGCGTTAAAGTTAAAGCTTGTACTTGTAAGTAGATTAGTAAGACACAAACAATTAGTATGAAAAACAATGAATGAAAATGCTAAGCTTTAACTTTAATTGTGATTAGATTTAAATGAAAATATTTCGGCTGATAATGACTTTTCCTTCAAATGACCAGTATTAACAACATTAATATAAAAATATATTAGATTTACATATATACTTTATACTATACTTTAAAATATAAAAAAAATATAAAAATAAAAAATATAAAAAAATATAAAAAAATAATAAAGTATTTAGTATTTCTATCACTTCTATTACTATTACTATTGTTATTTAAATTTTATTTTAAAGTAAGACCCAAACAAATGGTATTTCTCTTTTGGAGATTTGTATGTTTCAGCACTCTCGTTCTTTTCCCAACCATATATCAAGGACATAATTTAAATTAAATATTAGAATCTTTAAATATACATTATTATGTATGCATATATGATATATGTCGAAAAATTTATCTATGGCAGGGCTATTAGTATTAGTTGATTTTTTAAAAATAATATCTTGGTCTTGATGCCTTAAAATATAGTTAGTATTATTATTTATTAAACTTTTTTAACTTATAAAAGTAAAAAAAAAATTAAAAACAGATCTTTGTTTTACAAACCAGTACTTTTTTTTCTCATTTCGCATCTAGTCAGAATTGAAAATATTTTGTCTAAAGGTAATTATTATATTTGCTTTTTGTGATGGCGACGTGATTGCATGCACCTTGCAAGAGTAATAATGTAACACTAGATATAGCCCGCCAAACATTGGCGACAGCAATGCATGAACTTCCCATCTACTTAAGTTTCTTGACAAAAACGTGAACTCAAGTTACGCACATTTAAGAATGCCAATTTTGCTACACCCCTTCCCCCTTTTTATGCGAAATAATTATAATCTATGACCAGGACGCAATTGAATGGCATTGGGGGAGATCACTCTAATCACATTGTCATTAAATGGAAATATTCCAGTTTTTAGGTTTACTTTCTTGTTTTCCCTCTAATTGTCTAAGCTCTGGTCTGTTTAACTTTATTCAAAATAGTTGTAATATCTGAACAAATATAAATTTAATATCCAAGTTTCTCCAATTTTCATAAAAATATAAGAAACATGAATTTGTTATTGTTTTATTGCCCTAAAAAAATGGCCGGCACTACATACACCGCGCCGGTGTACCTAGCGAAACAAAGGACCTCGGAATGGCCCGGAACTACCCGAAAAACGGGTATCGTGATTTCGTTGTCAAAATGGCGACCTCCACTTTTTAATTTACCGAGGGTAGTGTTGTTTGGATTTTTTTTTGCTGAAATTAGTTTTGTTAGTTAATTCTAATTCCGCCCTCAACTTAAAGTTAAAGCAGACATGTTTGTTGTTCATTTAAAACTTTTCTCTTAGTAAAAATTTAATGGTTTGACTTTGAAAATTGAATGAAGGTAAATAATAGCTAAATTCACTCCCTCATATTTTTTTTTTCGAAGTGGATGCGTACACCGCGGCGGTGTACCTAGCGAAACCATCGGCTTTGGCCTGCGTAAACCGCGGCGGTGTACCTAGTGAAATCGTGGGCTTTGGCCTGGGTACACCGCGGCAAAAAATTTACCATTGGCCTGGTTTTAAGATATACTTGTTGGAGAGGATCTTGTGTGGTCAAGTGGTAGAGTGGACGCTTGGCGATAATATAGTTTGAGATCAATTCTCAGTAGGGGATCGAGTTTTTTTCCTCCCATTTTAGTTTTAAAATATTTTGTAGCAATTGAAACAATTTAAATATATGTTTAAATATTATATTAAATACACTTTATATATTTATTTATATATATAAGTGTTTCAACAAGTTGTGCCGGCCTTTGACTTTGAAAATACCGGTAACTTTAGTAATAAGACTTTAGACATTTGAAAACAAACTTAAAGTTTCTGAAAGCGCATGTAATA